GCAGCAATGTTCCACTTGGGCATCCGCCAATACACTGCATTCAAATGCAATGCATTCATTTCACTTCCAACAAACAATTCTTGTGCTAAATGCTAAATTCAGATTATTGTTATGTTTGGTAACTTTTTGCCTTTTCATCGTGTTTATCGTCGCGGTGTAACTGATCCCGAATCTGTTCGTTGCACCTTCAGATGCCTTCGAAAGTGATGCTGTGCGATGAGGACGAGCAATATTTTGTGCGTGAAGTTGAGTTAGACGATAAGGAGTTAAGGATTTATCAAGAAGTGAACAGTGATGTTGGTGGTGTTGTATGGGATAGTTCTATAGTTGCGTGTTATTATTTCTTGAAAAATCGACATTACTGGAAAAATAAGAAGGTTCGATTATCCAATATCATCATCTCCAAGTGTATTTGCTTGCCACAAACTATATTTTGTGACTGCAATGTGCATGATGCTGTGAAATTATTCAGTCAACGACGACCTATATCAACTTTGTTCAACAGTCCAGCAATAACTCCGTCGTTTTAAAACTCCTTTAAATCTGATGAATGTTTAAAACCTTCTGACGGAGAGCCATAAAATATTATCAGAAAGTAAGAAATTTAACGAAGGGTGATCAGAAATTTTCTCCACTGAACCAAATTACCTTCAGATGAAAGCTATACGAAATTCTCAGTAGCAGACAACAGTCTATTCGTAGTTGTTTTGCATTTATCGGAACTCGTTTACAGTTGCCAATTGCAGGTTCTTGAACTGGGCTCTGGAACCGGTATATGCAGTATTGTATTGGCGATGTTTGGTGCCCAGGTTAATGCAACAGATCTCTACGAACGTTTGCCGTTAATACAGCTGAACGTTTCAAAAAATGAGCAATTCCTGAAGGCGACAACGGGCTGTGTTAGCGTTGAGGCGTTTGACTGGAATGAGCCTCCGCCTCCAACGAATCACTACGATGTGGTTCTTCTGGTGGATGCAATCTATTACCTCAAGGTTAGTAAGTAGTTTGAACTTACAATTAGAATCATTTCAAACGACAGATTTCGGACACCAGAACAGGAATTGAGATCAATTAGGCAGGGCACAAACTCTGTTTTGAATCCGCTATGAGTCTAAAGAATTTGCTGTTTGATCAAGATATATCACGATATCAAGTTACTCCGTAAAGAAAGCATGAGGCAGTTTGTTGTTCCGAATAAAGGACCTAAACCTTCTAATTGCTGCTAAACGGTTGACATTGATTGAAGTGTTTGATCGTCATTATCGGAAAATTTGATTTCTTGATTACTGATTTATTCCTGACTTACAAATTTCTTTGTGATGTGTTGTTGAATTACTTTACGATAACTGTCTTCAGCATTTTTTGTTTCGAATAAAGCACTTATTTTTTAAAATTTTTACCTGGATTACCTGGATTGGCCAGGCTATCCAGACGTTTGTAACGTTGCTAGCCACAATGCTCGCGTTTCCGTGCGCATTGTTTTAGCCTCAGTTTACGCCA